CTGTGTGTTCTGGGAGGGGGTTGGGGGTTCAAAAGGTGGTTAAGGTTAAGCGCGTAAAGTCAGAATTTTAGAAGGTCAAGCCTACCTACAGCATTAATGTGGCCCCGCCCACAAGGGGCATGGAAATGAATGTCATTGGCTGCAGGAGCAAAGCAAACTGTAAATCCCCAGCCCTTGACCACGCCCCCAGACCCCCCCCCGGTGGAGATTGCCGCTGCTGGTTCTGCACATTCGCTCAGGTGGGCGGCTCGCAGACGCAGCGATGAGTCCATCCCCAGAGTGCTGCGCCTTCCGCTGACCTTTGACCTGTACGGAATGTGCGCACCGCCCGGCAGATGCTCGCAGGCCCACCTGGGCGGGTGTCCCATTACCCCTCCCCCCCAGAGGGGTCGCCTTTATTTCGGGAAAGAGGGGTGTTGTGGTAGCACCCTGTAATCTCATATCTCGCTTTGCACACAAGCCGCATGTTTTCGGGTACTCGTGGGGGTACGGAGCAGTTTCCATACCCTAAAAGAACAGGGGGATAAAGGGGGGTCCTGCTTAAAACCACGCACTCGACAGCAACGCACGACACCCTGAAAGCAAGCGACCCCTCCCCAAGCGACAGCGCACCCTCGCTTTCAGCTTCAAAGCTCTGGCTGGTCAGACTGCACCCACAGCAGAAGGTCTAATCTGTACCACCGAAGGGCTTCAGATTTTAGGTTTGCAGCCAAATACAAAGGTAGGACACTAGTTTTACACCCCTATAGGGGGTGTGTGACTGAAGCCATGATGAAGGGTTTCCACTGATCAGTCATTCCAGAGTCCCCTCCCCACCCCTCCACCCCCCAAAACAGACACACGCCGACACCACCACCAAAAACGGGGTACACAACGCCCTCCGTTTCCACGGTTTCCGCACCTTCCTCCTGCGTTTCTGCGGTTTTGCTCTCCTGTGTCTGCTTACTCCCCCTCGGTCTGGATGGCGAAAAGAGGCCATTTCATTCCAATCAAACACAAAAACAACAAGAGCCAAATCACTTTAGCAGGCGTTAGATCCCCCTTCTCTAAGCGAGACCCTGGATGATGCAGCCGAAGCAGCCGAAGCAGCTGAAGCAGCTGAAGCGGCGCTTTTCTGTGTCTGATTCTCAGCAGGGAGGCTCGCCGGCGCCCTGCCCGCCCCGCCGTTCCCGTGCCTGCGTGTAAACGAGGCCGCGCAGACAGAGCGCGCCTCTCTGTCAGCTTTACCCTGGCTCCCTCAACCCCAGCTGCTCAGCTCCTGCTGTACCCCAGCGCCTGCCTCGCCCTCTCGCCCGCCTCTCGCCCGCCCTACTCACCAGCGCTGTGACCCGTCTCTTCAGCCACCTACCCCAACCCCGGGCGTGTCCTGCCTGCGACTGCTCTCTCCCCGCGCCTGCCCCTCAGCCTTTATACCGCCCGCGAGGGGGGAGATCTCAATCACTGAGCCGCACCTGTCACCCTCCCCTGGCTCTATTAGAGTCTTGGAAGAACTCCCCCCTCCCTCCGCCTTGCCTTAACCCCCCTCCCCACTCTCTCACCCTCTTATTCCCCCATCTCCCCCTCCTTCTCTCCCTCTCTCTCTCTCCCCCTCTCTCACTCTCTTATTCCCCCATTTCTCTCTCTCTCCCTTCCTCTCTGTCTCGCTCACCCTCTTGCTCCACCACTCCTCCCTCTCTGTCTCTCTCTTCCTCTCTCTCTCTGTGTCTTTCCCTCTCTCTCTCATCCTCTTAGTCCTCCACCCTCTCTTTCTCTCTCTCTCTCCGTCCCTCTCTCTCTCTCTCCCTCTCTCTCCTCTCTCTCTCTCTCTCTCTCCCTCCCTCTCTCTCTCTCTCTCTCTCTCTCCCCCTCTCTCTTGCTTTTGCCTGATCAGATACTCTGTAAAGGCAGGAGCTGGTTTCATATTTCGAAAGCTGAAATCAGATCAGGTGAGCTTCACTGAAGCGTGGTGCATACAGGATGTAATGTTCCGTTCCGATGATGAGCTGATGTCTAACTTTGGTTTGGGGGGGGGTTTAATTCGGGGGTGAAAGTTATGCCTGCATCACTGCCAGAACCATACTGTTTATTTATGTATGCTCTGTATTCGTGGGGGGTGGGCTGATTGACAGATGACAAAGGGTGCTGGAGACTCATGTTTTTCCCCACACAGTTCTGCTCCGCAACCTTTGACTCTTATCGCCTGTTCTCGTTTAATTAAAAAACAGGGATAATGGATAACATGAAACGGATAACATGAAAAAAATTGTAACCTATGTAATTTTGCTAAGGATGAGAAGGTCTGCTAAATGAGAGTAATGTAATGTAATGTAACGTAATGTAATGGGACAAGGGAAGACCACGAGGATTCCAGGTTCAGACGAGAAGCTAAAAAAACACTGAGTCACTGAAGCACACAGAACCAGACATCCTTAAAACACAACATATACATAACACTCCCCAGAACAATCCCTTTGCCTGACATCTACCCTCTGAGTTTAAATAGCTACTGATTTATTTATTAATGTACAAACATCTTATGTAATAATAATGTATACATATATAGCAATGTTCTGCGCGCATGAATCATTTATGACACGAATGCCTCGGGGCTGGAGTTGCCCTATGATAGAAACTGAGTGGTATTTCCTGCCTCATACACAGAATCTCTGTCGCTCTGCTTCATGTTGACAGACGGTGTCCAGAACAGTACTGAATAGATCTTTCATAGTTGCCTCCCTTTATACTGATGCATTTAGACTGCTTCCAGAGAGCGTCTGTGTTGGGAGCAGTTCTGCAGCTTTTGTACAGATGCCACACAGAGCCGATGGCTAAAGGTGCTGTTGTGTGACATTTTCACAGGAGATGATGTCCACAGAGGTGTTTGCTGAACACTAATGCCTTTAAAAAGCTTTATACAGCGCTGCTTTTCCCAGCCACGGAGTTACCACTCTGTGAAGGACATCCTTCACCACCTCTCCCTTAGAATCTAAATGCTAATTGTTAATTGATTGTGTGCACCTGTGTTACTTTGCATGAGGACCGACCTATTGGCTAACGAGACACACCTTGCTGATTGAGGCCTGATTAAATACAGGTGTGGCTGCAGAGCAGAGGAGGCTCACTTTGTCTCTGCTGGCGCTGTGCATGCGCTGGTTTTGTTTTGGTTTATATTTTAAAATAAATTTTTGGTTTTTAACCTTTTGTTTTTGGCTCATTTATGAGAGAGGTGGTGGCCAGCTTCTCTACACACTCACAGATCCGGAGTATGCGCAGTTTCCCGTCTGTCTGAGACCGCAGGTCTGCGCAGACTAAACGGAAGCGTCTGATTGGCTCGCATGTGAGGGGGAGTGTAGCATCAGTACAGCACCTCACTGGGGGGGAGGAACAACAGAGCCAGATTTATGGGATGTTGCTGTGATCTCTGGCCAGCGTTGCCAGCGGTGATGTGCAGTGGTCGCATGGACGTACCGTTTATTAAAAAATCACTCTTCCTCAGGGTGTTTGCTGCCGCTCCCCTGGCCGCAATGGTGAAAATTCAGCAGCATTCACCTATGATTTGCGTTGGATAAAAGCGTCTGCCGAACAAATAAATGTGAATGTAAAAGTAAATCGCACACAGAATGATGACCTTTGACCTGTCGGCTGATCCGTTGTTATGGTTACATTCCTGAAACTGGAAAAGCTGTACCCCAGCGAGGGAGCCAGCTGATATCAGCTAGTTAGCTAACTATATAGCCCCTAAATCTGTCAAAACAAAATTGTATGACCAGCTGCTCTTGAGCGCAGCTAGCTGTGTATCTACCCATGAGTATAAAGTAGCTAGCTGAGGCTGACAGGTGCGGGTGCCTTTGTGGTCTCCCAGTTCTAAGGAGTAAAACCTAAAGACGTGTATGGAGAATTAATGCTACTCCCTCTTCCATGTTTCTGTTATTCCTCTGCTGTCTGTACAGTCCTTCAGTGGTCACAAACCATTCCAGCCGCTTCCTGCGTTGAGAGAGTGTAACTGGCTCTCCCTCATCAGCTGAGCTACAACCAGAGGATGCAGTTCAAACACTTTACAACCCTTAACGAAAGAGTGGCTACAACAACAGCAGGCGTTGCAGGTGGCAGGTGAAGGAAAATATAATTTTCTTGTTTTATTATATCCTTTCAACATATTTATTCCTCCTACTATTTTTATTGTGTTTTTAGTGAATGAGCAGGAGACATTCCATTAATCACCAAACCCCATTCCAAAGAACACCTGCCCCACTTATTCTGAAATTTGCCACAGGAAAACATGGCAGACATGAATAGGAATCATGGGAGGAAATCTTGAGAATATGAACACACACTCATGCCGAAATACTAGTGTAGGAAAGAGGGATGGAGAGAGATGAGATAAAGAGAGGGTGAAAGAGAAGGAGAAAAAGACTTATTGACTTTTAAAAAGCCCTTTGCAAACCAAAATATTTAAACAAAGTGCATGGGAAATCTACTGTTTGCATGTCATAAAAAATAACAAACATTTGACCCCAATGCAACAAAAAACAAACAAGCAAATTTACAAATAAACAAACAGAAACCCAGAAGCACAAAAGAAAACAAACCGAAGGAAAAAGCATCCTCAGCTTTGAGTCAGTCTGGTTCCGCTGGCCTCGTTAGCATCAGAGATACTCCTTACTGCAGAGCTCAAAGAGATTCTCCTTTAATCTACCAAAAACAAACTTAATTTTGCATGAGGGAAAAGATGGGGAGAGGGATGAAGAGGGAGGGGGGGGAAGAGAGAGAGGGAGGGAGAGATGCAGTACGTTAGTGTTGAGGGTGTCTCTTTGCCTGTGTGTTTGCGCGCATATAGTGTATTAGAGTGTATTTGTTCAAAAGAGGATGTGCATTACATTATTGTAATTTTAGCAGATGATCTTATCCAGAACGACTTACATAGATTACAGTTTTTACATGTTATCCATTTATACAGCTGGATATTTACTGAGACAATTCTGGGTTAAGTACTTTGCTCAATTAAGGGTACAGAGGCAGTGCCACAGCGGGGAATCGAACCAACAACCTTTCGGTTACGAGCCGAGCTCCTTAGCACTATGCTTCACTGCCTAAATATTAGTAAAAGACAGAGGGAGGGAGAGAGATGAGGTAGAAGGTGGGTGAGAGAGAAAGATGGAGAGAGACTTCTGACTTTTACGAGCCCTTCATTCACCAAAATATTTAAACAAACAGCAAGAGATAGAGCCCGAGAGAGACAGAGAGTGTGAGAGAGAGAGAGACACACTAAGAGAGAGAGAGACACAGTGAGACAGAGAGGGAGAGAGACAGAGAGGAAGACAGAGTGAGAGAGACAGAGAGAGAGACCGTGAGACAGAGACAGAGAGGCAGAGAGAAAGACAGGGAGCGAAAGAGACAGAGAGAGAGAGAGAGAGACAGAGAGAGTGAGCCAGCCGGTGAGAGCCCACTAACACCTTGCTGAGTCTCTCAGCTCTCCTGCAGTGCACATCGATCTGGTTTATCTCACAGACAGGCTGTGAGAAACGCATCCAGCTGCATCTCCAGCTGCAGCAGCAGATCTGATCTAACTCAGCCTCACGGCCTGCAGACACTGCTCCTGCTCTCTGTTCATAAATCCTTACCTCCCGTTTCACTGTAATGTTTACTGTTCTGTACTCATAAATCCTGCCCTCTTCTTTACTCCAGGTAAACATGGTGCTACCCATTCACAAATACCCAGCCCCCATTTTGCAGAAAGGCTAAGATTTCCCTGAAAATAAATCTTTTGCTGCCGTTTTGCAGTAAGGGGGGAGTGTTAAATATTCATATTCATACTGCAGAATATGATCCAGCAAAACTCGAGTCTGCTTGGAGATCAAGTGGTTGTACTGCGAGTGTGTGTGTGTGTGTGTGTGTGTGTGTGTGTGTGTGTGTGTGTGTGTGTGTGTGTGTGTGTATGTGTGTGTGTTGGGGGTGGCCAGGGGAGTGTGTGTGTGTGTGTGTGTGGCCAGTTGGGGGTGGCCAGAGGGAGTGTGTGTGTGTGTGTGTGTGTGTGTGTGTGTGTGTGTGTGCGTTGGGGGGGGTGGCCAGGGGGGTGTGGGGGAGTCATGCTAATTGTTTTACTGGCTCTCATTAATGTTAAGCAACAGGAGGATTATTCAGTGACTCATCCTTGCCATTTTGTGAGCCCCATCAGGATGCTGAAGTCTCTGTTTCTGGCAGGGTTTGGCTCCGGGGTGGGGGGTTGGGAGGCCTGGGGTGAACTTCAGACAGCAGCGGACAGTGGGGCTGGCGAGCGGGACAGGAACACTGACCCCCCCGCCCCCTCCAACCCCCCCGCCCTGCGCACCCTCCCACCGCATCTGTCAGAATGCATCTCCCATTAGTGTCGTTAATATAGATATTAATGTTTACTACAGCTCAGAGGAACAACAGATTTCAGCACAGGGCAATCTGTGTGTGTCTGTTGATGTATTTGTGTGTTTATGTCTGTGTGTGTGTGTGTGTGTGTGTGTGTGTGTGTGTCTGTGTGTGTGTGTGTGTGTCTGTGTGTGTGAGTGAGTGTGTGTGTGTGTGTGGTGTGTATCTGTGTGTGTGTGTGTGGTTGTGTGTGTGTGTGTATCTGTGTGTGTGTGTGTGTGTGTATGTGGATGTGTGTGTGGGTGTGTGTGTGTGTGACAGTGTGAGTGTGTGTGTGTGTGTGTGTGTGTGTGTGTGTGTGTGTGTGTGTGTGTGTGTGTGTGTGTGTGTGTGTGTGTGTATCTGTGTGTGTGGTGTGTGTGTCTGTGTGTGTGTGTGTGTGTGTGTGTGTGTGTGTGTGTGTGTGTGCAGGTATTAGTGAGGGCATGGCTGAGCTGCTTCCCAGCTGTCTGCTGAGACAGGCTGAGTGTTCCCCGGGGGGAGGAACCGGATCGGGGTCTTCACCGCGCCCACCTGCCCAGCGCCGACTGACACCGGGCCCGGAGAGACCCGTTAGGCCCGGTGCTGGAGCGGAGTCAGAGAAACCCGAGAATCACAGATGAGAAGATTTTCATGTTTGAATTCCTTAGCTGTGATATGTCACTGTGTTTTCAGGGTGTGGCTGGGCATTTGCGTTTGTGTACACGGTGTGTGTGTGTGTGTGTGTGTGTGCGTGTGTGCATATGCGTGTGTGTTTGCGTGTTTGTGCGTGTGTGTAGTGTGAGTGTGTGTGAGTGTGTATGTTTGTGTGTGTGTGTGTGAGGCGTGTGTGTTTGTGTGTGCGTGAGGTGTATGTGTGTATGTGTGTCTGTGTACACGATCGTACCGCTTGAGCAGCTGTCTGTGTTGGTGTCAGTCAGAGATATGGAGAGGTTACTGGAATAACTCTGAATGAGGGTGATTGACAGCCCGTGGTGTTGGTGCAGAGTGTTGCTGCTTTGGGAAGCTGGAAGCACAGACTGTGCAGAGGCTGTGTGTGTGTGTGTGTGTGTGTGTGTGTGTGTGTGTGTGTGTGTGTGTGTGTGTGTGTGTGTCAGGTGTGTGTGTGTGTGTGTGTGTGTGTGTGTGTGTGTGTGTGTGTGTGTGTGTGTGTGTGTGTGTGTGTGTGTGTGTGTGTGTGTGTGTGTCTGCACACCTACAGAGCAGAGCAGCTCCCCCTCAAATCACTCACTGAAACTATGAATCACTGACAAACCAATACAGCAAAATGCTAACCTGCTAAAATGCTGACACATTGAAACTATGAATCACTGACTCACTGAAACTATGGAACACTGACACACTGAAAAAATAAAACACTGACCTGCTAAAATACTGACTTACTGAAATTACAAAACACTGACACACTGAAACAGTTAAACACTAACCCACTAAAATACTGACACACTGGAACTATGAATCACTGACACACTGACACTACAAAACACTGACGCACTAAAATACTGACACAATGAAACTATTGAACACTGACACACTGGAACTATGAAACACTGAATCACTGACTCACTGGAACAGTACAACACTCACCTGCTAAAATAATGGCACTGAAACTATGAAACACTGGAAGCCACTGGCAGCCTGAAATGATGAAAGTGATCCACTAACAATCTGCAACACTGACACGGTGAGATCTAAACCACAGACACACACTGACTATGACAGAGAAACACTGATGCACTGAAACTATGAATCACTGATACACTGAAACGATGACACACTGAAATACTGACACTCTGCAACAGTAAAACACTATCCTGTTGAAATACTGACACCGAAATGATGAAATACAGAAATACTGACAGGCTTAAACGATGAATTGTAATCCACTGACATTCTGCAACACTGACACGTTGAGACCTAACCCGCTGACACACTCCGACTATGACGGAGACACGGACGCACTGAAGCGCTGACAGAGCAAAATGCCGACATGGTGACACGGCGAAAAACTGTGACAGTAAAACAGTGACAGTTTAAAAAGCGAAACACACTGACACAGAGATAAAAAACAAACATCTGACTGTTACTGGACTGATCCCCTTTTAACCCAGTTTCTGCACAGCAGCGTATGAACGTAAAAAACAGACCACCAAGAACAGTAATCGGAAATTAGATGAGCTGATGTAATCTTATACCTTGCTAAATCCCTCAATTTCATTTTTTTACATTCCTTCCAGCCAAGTTATCTTTAAAATGTCTGTCCTCTTCGTTGTGTTTTGCTTGCCTTTTCTTTGTCACTGTTTAATCTGAGCAGTTAGTCACGTGTTTGGTTCAGTCGCGTGTGTTTCACAGAAAACGCAAGGCTGCGTGTTTCGACCGCTTGTCCTTCCCCTGTGTCACGGCACCGGTCCGTTCTGGGTGGAGGTGAGTGGTGAGTATCACTAACGCCCCCATCAGCTGACTGAGCGCATGCGGTTCCCCTTTTAAACACGCGTGATCGTCCTTGCTGATGATGGCCTGGTGGCCGATGCGAGCTCACACGACGATCAGCTGCGAGGCTGTCGAGATTCGCAGGGTGAAGAAACATAATAATAGCCTGAGCCTGTTTATGTGGCGAAAGGCGACTGTAAATGAGCCGATCAAAGAAGGAAGTCTTATGGAAAAGAGCGGTGTATTAACAGCACGTGGTGTTTGTTTGTGTGTGTTTGAAAGGCTCCCGTTGATAACCACGGACCCCCCCCGGGAGAAGGCGAACGGCCCCGAAGCCAGCGTTCCGGTTAATAGCGCTGTCAGACACGCGAGGAGCAGCGGGAGAGAGAGGGAGGGGGGGGGGGAGGGGGTTGGGGTGGGAGACAGGGACACGCTCACATCAGGCCAATGAGATTATAAAGGGGGTATAGGATATATGGATTCCGGGGGGAAGGGGGGGGTTGTGCTTTTTACGGGATGACATCACAATCGCTCCATTCATCCTCCCCTCCACGTGCGGCATCTCCTTCCTCATCCCTCCGTCCCGGCGGAGCGAGCGAGCGAGCGAGCGTTGCGCCGCGAATCGGCGCACAGAGGCGATTTGCGCCCCGCAGTCACTGAGCATGCTCATACCCGCCGCACACGGCCGCTGACGGTCAGATGCCGTTTAGTGTTGTCAAAACACGTGCCTCAAAATAATGAATAAATAAAGACGTAAAAAAATCAAGCAGCGCTGGAGGAAGGCTAAATGCAGCTGCTGATAGGCTATGTCTCAACAGCTTCTTTGACAGGGGTCTGCATTGGCGTGACGTCAGGGCATTTAGGTGTTGCGTGACGCGACGTTGAACGTTGCCTGAAGATACATTATGTGGAAGAAGACATTGTTTTTTTTCTTATTTTGCATAGGATTTACTAATTATGCAATGCAAGGATGAGCGTGTTGATCTTGTCTGTGATGACAGTATACTGCAGGAATCTATACTATACTTCAGCGTTGTCACTAGTTGTGTTGAGGAGTACTTTTTGGTCTACACTAATGCAATTTTTTTGTCTGTCCGTCACGTATTTACCATTCAACAGTATGAATGAAAAAATGGCCATATTACAAGGCTCGGCGAGCTCCCTTTTCGCCCTCCCTCTCTCGTATTCCTGTACCACCCCCATCCCCCGCGCGCGCGCTGCAGATTCCAGCGCGAGGTTCTATATCGGGGAACATTAGCTTGCAAGATGGCGCGCGCGCTGTC